GGAGGAGCCCCGCGGGGCCGGCCCGATGCCGGCGCAGGGTCCGCTCTGCGGACCGCGTGCGAGCCCTGCCATTATCAGGCTCGGCTTCACGGGCAGGAAGTGGCTTTTTATTGACAGGAAGCTGAATTCAGCTGGTAGCACCCCGAGGTGGAGGGCCGGGAGAGCGCAGTATTTATCTGTAGTCAGACACAGCGGGGGGGGAGCGGCTGGGCCCCCCCCAGCCCTGATGAGCCTCGTGCCTCTTAGAGCCAACGCGCTCCTTTCCCCCAAAATTGCTCCTTTCCTTGGAGAAACAGAAATGGGCAAAGGCATCCCTTCCCCTCGAGCGGACCTGCAGGTTTCCTTCCGCTCTGCCGGTCCCAAACCTGCCGCCGGTCCCGACCCGCCTGCCCTAGGCCCGTCCTGGCCAGGTCACATCAACAAGGTCGGGGGCCGGACGCGCTCGCAGACGGGGCAGCCTCCGCTCGTGCTTCGGCCTCTCCAGAGCCAGGGCGCGTTCGGCACAGGGAAGGGGGCGTCCCGTTACTCCGGGACAGGGCGGTTGCTTGCACAGGCCGCTGGTGGGGCAGCGCGCGGGGGATCGCATGGCGACTGCCAGCACGAGGTGGCTTTGCTTTGCAGCCCATCTCGCTCAGCTTTAGGCCACAGAGACCCCTCGTTGCAAGCGTCCCGCGGCCTCCGCCGCAGCCCACGCGCGGTCCGTACGGCTCCCGCCTGAGGTCTGCGAGCTTGCAGACGCGAGCCGGGGTGGGGGAGGAGGACATCGCATTGCAAGAGGGCGCGGGACCCGGGCAGGATGTGGTCTGCAGAACAGAAAGATGGGTTTCACGGTGGAAACGTGGCACGCGGCGGGCCTGGCTAGCACGGGCTGGAAGAGAGGGCAGGAGTCCAGGCGGGAGGACTCTGCTTCGTGGGCAGCTGCACGCCCCTCGGGGCGTTGCGGGCGGAGGAGGGCACGGGGCAAGCCGCTTTCCCCGGGAGCAGCCCAGCTGGTGCACGGTGCCACGGCCGCCCAGGCGGGGAGTGGAGGCCAGGTGAGATGGCAGGCGTGCGGTTGCAGCAGGTGTGCATGG